TTAATATTTTATTTAAATAAGATAAAAAATATATTTTTTTACGTTTATACAAGATATATATATTTATTAAAAAATTAATTTAATTACAAATTATTTAATTTTATTAAGAAAAATATGAAAAAAGATTTTAATTATATAATAATTGATTTATAAAATCAATAATATTTTCATAAATAACTATGATAGTAATAATAAATATAACCTATCCCAATTATGATCCCATCTGCCCCAAGATGAAGGTGTTATCCAAGAATGTTGTTTTTGTGATGAATGAACATGATCGTTATCATTTGGATAAAAAAGCATTGCACCACCTATTACACCACATCCAGCAATCCATTTTTTTAAGTTCAAACGTATAGGCATTATTATTATAAATTTCCACGACCAAAGTTTTTAATCATTTAAATCAATGCTGCTCATGTATAGAATGTCTTTGAATTTGTAATTTTTTTTGCTTTTTTTAATAATAATAATAAAAATAACAAATATATTCTAATAAGAAAAAAAATATGTAAAATACTATTTTAATATGAATGATAAGATAAAAAAATAAAATTAGAAAATTCTCTCAAATTTTGGAAATTTATTTATCTAACAATCATTATTTCTATAGTCTGTCCAATGAATTAAATCAAAGGAAGTAAACAAAACCATGTGATTAAAATCTAAAAGAAACAAGATTGATTTACAATTTTAAAATATTTTATTTATTTTTCTATATCAATTTATTAATATAAATAACTTGATTAATATAAATAAACTTGATTTAATAATTGTTTATTTTTTTTTAGAATAAATAAATTTTTATGAAATTGTTATAAAATGTTAAATACAATTTTTAAAATTTTTTTTTTCATACGAAATTATAATTAGTTTTTCAAAACTATGAGAAAAATAATATTTTTTAATTTTATTTTATAATTTGCAAATTGTGGAAATAAAAAAACAATTGAAATATTCTTTTTTGAAATATTTTTAAATATTCTTCTTTTTATATTTAAAACGTATTTACATTTGTTATGTTTATAAAATTTTTACAAAAATGATACAGTTTTATGAATGAAATAAAACAAAAATTATAATTTTGTAAAACTTGTATACAAAAATGAAATATAGATAACATAAATGTTTTTTATTAAATAAAATGATATGCTATTTTAAATTTAATTATAAAAATAGCTGTGGTTTCATATGTCCTGTATCACCAAAAGCCCATAATTTTACAATACCATCAGGATAAATAGTAATCCATGTAATACTAGCATGATTCAAACTTAAACGCAACCAACTTTGAGGTGGAAATTGTAATGCTCTGGAATGAATTAAAAGAAAATAATATTAACTTGTATTAACCAATAACATATACAAAATAGTTTACCTGCATACAAAATATCTAATAATATTTGCATGACAAACAAGAATTGTATAAGAATCTTTTTCTTGAGCAAAATCTGCACGATGAAAATATTTTCTAAATGCAGCTTCTATTCTAGGTCCATCTCTATAAAACTGAAATATATTAATATCTTTTATGCAATATTATTTTAAATAAATATTTTTTAAAATATAAATATTTATAATTTTTTTAGTTTATATATTTACATTTACTTCAGGTTTCCAGTTAGATGATGGTGGATCGGGTTGAATTGGTGCACCTTCATTAAGAAGCAAATCACATTTTATTGGTACATTCTTAAGGCCTTTTCCTATAATTTTAGCAGTTTCTTGTGCTCTTGTCATTGTTGAATGTACAAGTAGAGTATATGGAAAACCTAATTCTTGTAATCTTTTCCCTGTTGCCTCAGCTTGTTGTCTACCTTTATAAAATTTTAAAAATTTTATTAAATATATATTATTATTAGTATTTATATTACTATTATTATTTATATATTATATTATATTATTTATATACTATAGTAATACTGCTATAATAGTAATATACATTACATATATAAAGAAGAAATTTAAATACATTTTGTTCAATATAATAAAATAATTTAACATTTAATTAAATTTTTAATAAAATAATTTTATATAGAAATTTAATATTATCATCATAAATCATTATTTTATATAATTTTTATTTCATTTATTATTTAATATTATTTATATTATCATATACATATATATATACAATATGTGAACTTGATATATGTGTCAAATTATTTTAAAAATTATTAAAATAAATTTAACATGTAAATAAATGTTATAAATAAATACTAACCAAGATCTGTAAGTATCCCATCTGTATCTGTTTTAGCTTCTACATTATATTGTCCATGACGAATTAAAATTATATGACGTATAGCTTTTGCTGTTTTACTTATTAATTGTTTATTATATAAATTTTGATTAGATTCATTATCTATTTTCATTGGTTTTACTAAACTTTTTGGATCTCGCCTAAAGATATAATAAAATACAATAGTAAAAATATAAAAATTAATTGAAAAATGATAATAACTAATAAAATAATTATATGAAAGAATATGAAAAAATTAATTATTAAAATTAATTATTAAAATTAATAATTAAAAATATTTGATATAATTATTATATAAAAACATATTATATGTATTATTAAATATATTTTATAAATATATTTTATACATTGCTATATATTTGTTACATAAATAATAATATGAATATAATCATAATATTTAATAACATGAAAAATAATAAATATTTAACATATATATTTAATAATAAAATATCAACAAAATAATAATAATATTAAAATTTAATAAAATTTAA